AATAAAATTTTATAGGATAGTTAGTTATTTAACACCAACCAACTATTCTTCTATCTATTTCATTTCATTCTTCAGGTATTTTTGTACTACTTCGTGCTTGCTGTTGGTCGGTTTGTTAGACAGACATTCAACTAAGCCTGACTTCACAGACAGATAACGGATGAGATGAATTAAAGTCTAAATATCTATTAACAGAATATGTGGGCTTTTTAGAAACGCTAGTGTGCAGTTTACCTTCTTCTGTTCGTTTACAATCTAACACCATAGCTAATTCTCCTTGTTCATTTTCCTATTCAAATGTGAATTTTATTCTCCTTACTAGTGAGTTTATATCTGTGAAGAGACTGGAGTTACGTTCTGTTTTTAACAGTGTGAAAGTGTCATCCACATATCTCCACCATATTTTTGGAGTAGGATTAAATGTACTAAGAGCAATATTTTCCCAGCTCTCCATAAAGATATCTGCTACGACAGGGGATATTGGTGATCCCATTGATGCACCTTCTGTTCGTTTATATATTTTTCCTCGGAATTTAAAGATTGGTTCCCAATGGTAAACTGTGGACGGAACTTGACTTTGCCTGTGATACGTCAACTTGTCTATCCTACACAGTTATTACACGGTGTGGTTTATTTTTCTGTTTTACTGTTCTCTTCAAGGTTTATTAACGCTAGGAAGTTTTTTGGATTCATTAGTCTACTTGTCACAGGTTGGTGGTTGAGTGGTGGGCAAATGATTTGTGTTTGCTTCCCGATCGACTTACTCCTCAACCTCGCAGTGCACCTGAAGAAAGAGAGGAGTTTCAGCGCCAGATTAAAAACTCACTTCGAGAAGGAGTTTCATTACAGTGACTGATATTTTAGAGCTCAAGTTCGAAACCCTGTGTCCTACATGGAACTCAAAATAGATAAGTAAATTTCTCTCTTTTCAGTCATTGCAAGTAGTTATTGTTTATCCATTAACAGAAGAATTTCAGTATTTCACGTTTGCCTACTTATAAACTCTGAGTAGTATCACCAGCTCCTACAAAAATATCTTGGTATTAGGTGATTAGGTATTAGTTTACATCCTGATTGATCATTTTTGATTTGATTTGGGATTCGAATATTTTTATCATCTGGGGATTACTTTTTATTAGTTGGTAAATACGATCTATCGTTATATGTTTTCAGTCGCTGATTTATCTGAATACCAGGCTACTAGAATTTCCCACATTATGAATTAAAAGTCCATCTGAACGAAGAATATTCTTTTCAATAATTTCTCTTCAGGTCCTCACAATTATAAAGTATAATATTTATTGTCGTTACAATAAAGGCCAGTTATGTGGCAGGTACATTTTTAACGTAGAATAACAGATTAGTTATGGGATGTCAAAATATGCAGTCCAGATATCCAGAGATTCAATTACTGTTATTTGGTTTAGTGGTCTCCATTGTTACTTTGACCTTGAATATGTCATTTTAACTTGACCTAAGTAGTCTATTTTCTCACCTCTTACCTCTTTATTAATTTCATATATATTCCTATGACAAGTCCGTGTGTGATCAGATTGTTCGAAATGTGTTGCGCAAATACATTACACGATTCAGACAAATTACGTCTTCTTATTGCTTTATCTAAACGAAAATTTTCTCAGATGAATTGTCTTTTATTCCAGAATACGGAGTAAACATTTACTCATTTCTCTTCGGAATCAGAATAAAGTTTTCACAGCTCTTACAACGTTATATATGACTGAAACCAATGAGTTGGACTCGTTAAAATTGCATAAATTTTATATATGAAAAATGGAATAAAACACGGAAACAGGTCAATAACTTGGTTAATATTTCTAGAAAAATGAACAAGAGTGAAAAATTAAGAAAAATTCATCCCAACTCTTAATTTGTTTATCGCCTGTTGAAGGCATCTTCAAAAATAGATTTCGAACAACCTGTGAAGAAAACAAAACAAATAGTTGCTGAGTGAAAACGGTTATCCAGAAAAATTCATTGATAAGAATATAAATCAAAAATCAAGGCAGATAGAAGTACCAACCAACTGTTTCTAAAAAGGGCCTTATTCTTACGAATTCATTTCTTCGGGAATAACATCAGTGAGATATTAACACAACGCCTTAGGAATGCGGTAAGAAGAGCATTCCTTGCTGCTGAATTACGCTGTGTCTTCAAAACCATCCCTAATTTCGCCTATTCTATTTATATCTCTACCAATTTGACTGCTCCTGCGGAGACGGTTAGTTGCATAGGCCGTAGAATTAGGCATGTTTCTTGTCGGATTTCCGAACAATATCCTGCCTAATGGTTAAGTAAAGGACAAACAAAATCTATTCGCAGCGCTATTCTATCTTATCTTGTGGATACAGAACACAAGATTGATGTCAACGAGGCTTTCACAGTCATTTACCCCATACCAACAAATCTTAACTTCGCTTTAAGAGTTCGAATACTAAATATTGTTGAGGCCGTTGGAATCCACATTAAGAAGCCTAATTTGTGGGTCCAAAAGAAGAAGTTGGTTCAGACATTGTCCTCACCTTGGCCATCTAGGTTCGAATGATCTTCAATTCTTTATGGTAATTTCCTTAATTTTAGTTGATATTCTATTTGCTATTACATCTTTATTATTGTTATAATTTAAGCATCTTTAATGAACTGTAATTCCATCGTGATCTTACTTTACAAGTCGATATTATTTAAAAAAGAATACTGATATTGTTATTCACTACTATTCTAGAATATTCTATGTATATAAACATATGTATATATATAATTGTAGAGCCAGAAGAGGAAATTATCGGAAAGGATATTCTTTGCTCAGTTATTTTTTGTTTTTTCTAGAAAAATGTAGTCACAGCAGATATTCCAGCTTGTATAAAGAAGCAGGTAATAGAACACCCTTAGTACAGTTAAACATAACATTTGATGTGATTACAACATTCATCTGATCACGTTGTATGGAATTAGATAACATCAGCTATCTAAGGGAATTTAAAGCGTGATTAACCACTTCCCGTCGCCCTATTCAGGTCGGTGGAAGAGAAACAAGGGAGGTAAATTTGTCTTGGTGATGACACTTATATGTAAGTTACTTATATGAAAAACGACTTAATTTTAATTTTAAGAAAAATAGAATTGTTGGCCTTCCAGTGTTTGTATAGTGTGCAGAATTTACAGCAGAGTTTATTGCATGATATTTCCTCTTCATCAAAGATCTGCAAATAAAAAATGTAACAGTAGATCCTGTGTCACTATTTTACCAACTTCGAAAAGGCCTTCGACAAACAGCGTTGATCGAGAGGTAGCTTGGAAACTGCTTCAGCACTACGGCGTGCAATGCCCCAAATCTTTATCAATTTCATTCAACATCTGGCTTCATGACAGAGCTATGTGTCAGGTGATTCACAAAGGAAAACTCAGTGAGGCGTTCGAAGTAAAAATACAAGAGTAAGACAAGCTGGCTGCTTATTATCACTGATGATATTGTTAATTGTGGCTGACTGGATTATGCGTCAGACTGTGTGCTGGGAGTGAGAAAACAGAAATACGCTGGATAGACCAGTAAAAGGAATCTAGAAGATGTGGATTTCCTGCGTGGATGATTTATGTTTAATGTCACTCAAACTCGAAGACTTGCAGGTGAAAACCAACAAACTGTCTGAAGAGGTGAGGCAGGCAGCGTGAACATAAAGAAGATGGAGACGGAGGTGATGAAGATAACCAAACAACCAACAGTAACAGCAACAACAACCAGTACCAGTTACCATCAGCAGGAGATATTTGACAGGGGTTACTTCCTGCCTTCACTCATCTAGGAACCACAGTGTCAACCACACTTGACAGTGTGGATGAAGATGTCAGAGCCAGATAGCCGGACAGAATCGGAAAGGCAAGATACGCCGCCATCCAGATGTTCTAGATTCTTTTTATCGATCTATCCAATGTATTCCTATCTTCTCACTCCTACGCATAGTCTGACGCATAATCCAGTCAACCACAATTAGGAATAGCATCGGTGATAGTAGATAGGCAGCCAGCTTGTCTTACCCCTGTATGCACTACAAAAGCTTCGCTGAGTTTTCCGTTCTTGATCACTTGAAACGTGGCAGTGTGGTATAGATTTTGAATTAGGCTGATAAAGATTTGGGGCATTGCATAGTGTTGAAAGAGTTTCGTATAAATTAGAAGAATAAATCTCACGTGTGAAATTGACTTGATGAATGATTTTATCTCATAATAGACAATTTAAGTATTGCTGCAACCTGATTGGAAGATTAAACGAAGTTCGGGGGAGACATTGATATTTATAGAGTATCACAACGTTTTACTTTAACCTGATTGGCTGTTAAGTATATGCGTAGGAGTATTTCAAAGCTGATTGGTTGACCTTATTCTGAATTTTTCTCTGACATAACTACAAGCAAGGTATTGATTGAATGCTTTCGTTTGGTTTGAAGTGCATTTAGATCTCCTTCGTACGATCATTCTCTTTAATTTGACCAGTATGAACTTTTCGCTTTACCAGAGTGGAAACCGCCTTTATTTAATCGATTGGCTTTCATGTAAAAATGTGGAGTTCTTTACACTGTTCCAGGTGGAGACTAGCTCACGTCCAGGGGATGGTTGCCATCTTTCAAAGATACCTCCCATATTCATAAAGGTACCTTTGAAATAATTAGTCAGACTGCACTCAGCTTTAGTAGAATCTTACAAATGTGAGAATACCAAGCATACCTTAGCTATTTCTCTTGGACATAAAGTTGTACTGATCATAACTGCTAGGATGACATAGAAACGTCTTCAACAAGCAAATATCCAACTCACTCCATACAGAAATATATAGTGTTATACAGATGTAATGCAAAAAACATACGGTACAGAACAGATTAACGCGCTATAGACGTACCTTATAAAATCTGGAACAGTCAATACACTCAGTTTCGTGTACACTATTAAAAAAATATTCTTTCTTAAGGACTTGAAATAACTTCAGCGCCCGTTAAATTTATTGTTTGATAGGTGTGCTGAGGGTTCCACGTGACTGAATCCCTGACTCATCCACTGAAGATGGTGAAGGCAACGATGAAACTTTCGGTGGACTATGCTGATGATGGCTGTTATCACTGGGGATTTGCTTCTCGGTCTGTGTCGTTTCTAAATTCATTTAGAAAAATTGAAAAGTTATTCATTGAAACATTTAACTATATTTGAATAAATGAAAGATTATGTGATCAGTTATTTTCCTTTAAAAAAGCCAGTTCTTATAAGGTGAAACATAGGCTTTGAGAGACAATTCAGCACCCTTAGGTCAGTAAAGTGTCTCCATTCGTAACTTCACATCAAGCCTACAAAATAACATCTACTTGCTGACTTATGTATTTCTTTCCGGCGAATTCATTTTCATAGCTGTACAATCGCAAATATATATGATGGTTGTTTTGTATGTGTGTGTACATTAAATTCGCCAAACGGAAATACAATTAGTAGGTTCAGATGAATTGGATGTTGATATAAGAGGATAGTGACAAAAGTGATGAGTTGTCACAATCGATTGTTAAAGAAGAGTTACGTAATAAAACGAAAATAAAAGGAGTGCAGTAAGCGAACATCTCGTCACCACTGGTTATTCCATCTCAACAAACGCCTCCAGCTTCAAAGTAATCTACAAAGTGAAGAACAACCTGCCAAAGATAATACGTTTCCATCTTCTTTGCATTGCAGAAGCCCTAGCCATTCAGTTGGAAGAACCAGAACTATGCATACAAAAGAAAATTATCCAACCACTTCTACTAGCATGGTAACAACTCCATTGATTTGACTTAACTTTTGTTCGTATGCTTATTTTTCTAACTACTTAAAACCCTTGTGTAATTCCGTATGTTATTTTGTTTCCATGTACACCCTGAGCACAACTCTTTCATCAAACTATTCATGTTATTACGTAACTCTTCTTTAACAATCGATTGTGACAACTCATCACTTTTGTTACTACTCTCTTGTATCAACATCCAATTCATCTGAACTTACTAATTGTATTTTCGTTTGACAAATTTAATGTACACACACACATACAAAACAACCATGTATATATTTGCGATTGTACAGCTATGAAAATGAATTCGCCGGCGAAAAGAGACTCTTGACTGAACTACTGATCTTCTGTCTATTAATGTTCCAGTGGGAATCTTTCATGAACTATGTATTCCTATTTAGAAACCTTTTATTCAGGTTTTAGATTTTTGGGGTAATTAATATCACGCAAGATTTCTTCCAGAACCAAGGAGCACTTGATTGCATAGGAACCTTCAGGCACTGAAGCGAAGCTTCACAAGTTACATGGCTAACCCGTTGACTGTTTAACCACCGGGTTGGGAACCATTGATTAACTCGAGTAGAGTGCACTTTCAGACATGACGACATTATAACTGACTGATCATCTGAGAATATTCGCCCACCCCTGACACACATAAATACACACACACACTAAGATAGACACAAAAGTCAGATTTATGCGCAACAATAGTCACAACGTTTTTCAGACAAAATGAATAGCATAATTAATTTACAAAACCTCAGGAATTTAAGCCAAAAATCAATATAGCGAAAATATTCATTCAGATATCTAGAAAACACAAAATAACTGAGCAGAGAATATCCTTTTCGATAATTTCCTCTTATGGCCCTACAATTATATATACATATATATGCTTATATACATAGAATATTCTAGATTAGTAGTCAATAAATAATATCGATTAGTAAAGTAAGATCACGATGGAATTACAGTTCATTAAAGATGCTTAAATAATAATAATAATAATAACAATAATAAAGATATAGTAGCAAATACAATATCAAATAAAATTAGGGAAGTTTCCACAACAAATTCAGGATCATTCAAACCTAGATGGCCAAGGTAAGGATAATTTCTGAACTAACTTCTTCTGGGCACACAAATTAGGCTTCTCAATATGGACCCCAACAGCCAGCCTCAACAATATATAGTAGACGAACTCTTTAGGCAAAATTGAAATTCGTCGGTATGCGGTAAATGACTTTGAAAGTCAACTCATTGACATCAATCTTGTGTTGTGCATCCATAAGATGAGATAGAATAACGCAGCTATGAATGAATTTTGTTTTTCCTTTACTTAACTACCACGTAGGGTGATGTTTGAAAATCCGACGAGAAATACACCTAATTGTAAGGCCTACGCAACTAACTGGCTCACTCCACAGGAGCAGCTAAATTAGTAGATACACATGGAAGAGGCGAAATTAGGCAGTTTATCTTTTACTCCCGAAAGCAAAATAGGGTCGGGTGTTTTTGAAGACATAGCATAATTCAGCAGCAGGGAATGCCCTTTTAACCGCATTCCTAAAACGTTGTGTAAATATTTCGGTGATGTTATCCCCGAGGAACTGAATTTGTAAGAATAAGATGATTTTAGAAACTGTTGGTACCTTGGGCTGCTTTAATTTTAGATTCATATTCTTATCAATAAACTTTTCTGGATATTGTTACTGACTACTATTCTAGAATATTCTGTATATATAACCATATACATAAATCAATAAACAAATCTGATTGGCTGCACGACTTCGGGAACTAAAAAGCCAAAATTAAACGGATCAGAAACTGAATATACCTGCATTTCTCTGCGAATGATGGTGTTCCCTTTGAGACCTGACTGATTCTTGTGAGAACGGATTTGGTAAGATTTTTTATTTTACCTAATGGAAGAAATCTGCACATATTTAGTCGCAAAAGTTGTACCCTTTATGGATGTATGAGATTTATGAATGCAATTAAACCGTAGAGGAAGCAAATTCATCAACTCACCAGATGCTGAAGCAACATGTTCATTGGAAACCTGAGTGCTTTTATTGTTTAAATTATTGTTGACATAATCGCCTTCATAATCTTTGTCATCAACATCAACATCATCATCACCAGCACAATCGGCATCTTCTCCGTCTCCATTTCCATCGACAAAGTCATCGCTGTCTTCAATATTTGCTTCATTAACTGTGAACAGAATGATAAATTATAGGCTTAGCTTCACAGAGTAGTATATTAACCTTATTTGTGTACACCATTTAATTCTGATTCAACGTTTCTACGAATAACTCATTTACCTATTTGAATGAGTACTCGCCAGTCATGCTGAGGGTGCAGGTTGGATTCGCGGCAGACGCACTCCTTAAGATCTAGCCCAGTTCACTAGGCCATAACAAGTCCAGAGAAGAAGCGAAGGTTGGGTGTCAGAGTGCTTCATTTGCAATTGAAATATCTAATTTTAACACCACTATGGATAAGATTTTATTCTGATGAATCACACAGTGTTATACAATGATATTTACTCATGATCACTTTCCGAGCACAAATTATTACCACTCATAATCACATCATGTCACCCACACAACTTTCTGACTTCATTTTTATACACGAGTAGAAATGATGATTGGAGATTTGAATAAAAATCAATATGGGATAACGTACATTTAGAAATAATAATATGAGTGTTATTGATAAAATACAATCAGATGGGAAATAAGACGAGTGCTTTTATAGTCAAAAAAGTAACTTGTTAGAATGTTATAATTAATGTATGTGAATTGAAATAGAATTTTAAGATTGTTTATTATCCTCCTCTGATTTGACTGACCGGTGGTAATAATATCTTCCATGCATATCTCTGGTACTCGCATTGAGTCATTTCTGTTGCGCATGTGTTGGGTGTAGACTAGATGAACCGGGCAGGATTCAGTAATTAATCTCTCTCTATCTCCACCTACTTATATTTCTTCTTAGAATTTTGGCTTTGTTCCATCCTATGTTGTGTGGTTCCGTGTTAATACATGCAGTGCAATCGCTGAGGTTTTTTCTAAATTACTTATCTTCTCGGGGTCAACCATTCTTACCTTAGCTAAATTCTTATGTTCCGACGGTCTGATTACCACCAGTTTACTAGTGTAACCTAGGCGGTTGATCTCACTCAGAGTCATTGCAAAGTATTTTGTAAATTATATTATTTTGTTTAATTGGGTCAACCGGGTCTTTTAGCCTACAGAGCTTGTTCTATCTGAGTGAGTTTGTAGGTTTCAATTCCACCCTAATTCCTGCTTTATTGATAATCCTACTTAGGACCCCACCACAGTGCCAAGTGTAATACTTATATCCAATTTTAATTCCTACTGGGTTGGAGTCTGGGTGAGAACACTATCACACTTATTTGGAATGCAGACCTCTTCAACTGACGAGTCCCAAGTAGGACGAAGTATGCGTCGCCGATCCCACTGGTGGTCATTATCAACCAAAACAATATTATTTTAGTCTTCAGAGATCACCGAAGCATCCGTATTACATGCAGACATGTTGACAGAGATCAAGCACTTAGGTTCCGTAATAAACCAATCAATAAGGAATACGTGGTCCACTGTAAAAATCCCGGCCAAAGTACACCGAATTCTCGTTCACCCGGTAGCAAGCCCTGTAAAGTGAGACGGCTGGGAGTTAAGTACCCCTTAAAGTGACAAATAACACTGTAACGGAATAAGTGTTTAGAAAATCCCTCATGAACAACCTAATCAATATTTTTGTTACTTATTTGGATTTCTCAACTATCTTTGTAACCTATATATGTGTGAACCAAGTTCACTTTTAACAGTTAGAAAAAATGTCGGCATTAGGCATGTGATATTCACTATAATAAAGCCATTTCAAGTCTTCTTAGACGAGCACACTCTTTGATGTTAACGGACGAGAAAGAAAAAGAAGAAATATTAAACATTAATGAGGCTCTCAAGGAAAATAACTACCCAAAGAACTTCATCAAGAAAATCAACACAGACATTAAATATGGTCGAAAACTTATTCCAAAAACATGGGTGTCAACAGTTATCATTCCATTTAGAGCAGAAACATAAGACGATATCAGAAGTTCGACATCAGAGTTTTCTTGAAAACATCAGACACACTGAGAAGTAATCTTGTCCATATAAAAGACCAAATCCTTAAAGATTCTCTATCTAATTGTGTCTAAAAAATAAAATGCTTGGAATGTGATGCGATATACATCGGACAAACCTCGCTAGGGAGAAGTCAAAATCAGAAGAGATGAACACCGTACAGCATCTGTTCGATCACCGAGAAATCCGATTGAACTGGTAAAGCTTGAAAAATCATCAGCCATAGGTGGCCTACACGCTATAGAATCAGGCTACAAAATCGACTTTGACAATATTGAAATAATCCAGAAAAACTTCAGAAGTCACAAAGAACGTCTAATATCATCAGAAGCACTTCATACAAGGGGAATCCAAATTGTCTGACCTGAATAGGAATGATGGACTAAAGCAGAATTTGACCTGGTTACAACACCCTCTCCCTTCCCCATGAAGTGACAGAATCAACACGAATGTGATAAGCAATTTCATTATAATATAAACACATCCTGCTTTTAAAACTCTGTGACCGTGAGTGTCTTAAGTGGGTTTGGTTGAGGCATACAGTGGGATGCAAAGAACAATTTCTTGAGTTCACAACACAATCAGTCGGTTTTGGCCGTTACAACGAGCACTACGGAAACTTCAGACATCAAGGCTTGAAGCCATATGTTCCATTTGGGAAGCAAAGCAACAAAGTAAATTTTCAAAAAAAATAATATCAGACTAACCCGAATTTCGACTGGGATATTTGTCGTTATTGATATTTTCTTGTAAATCAATATCTGACGATGATGATGGTATCGATTCCGTACTACCGACAGTCTCAAAATGGTCAGTAGTTTCTGCAGGATGACATCGATGAACATTGGCTGATTGATGTACCGATTCTGTTTCATCACCGAATTTCACATCAAATGAGTCAGCTAGACTATTCAACAGCTTGTAAGCATCATTGTTTGATGTTGATGGTTCTTTGCTTTCAAGTGATCTAGATCCTGAGGACTGTGAAGAGGATGATGATGATGACGATGATATTGGTGGAGACCACACTGATCCAGTGTGGTTGACTTTCTTTACAGGCGATTCAATTTTTTGCTCAGAAGGTGTCGGCGATAATGGCGTGAATGACTCAGCTGTTTCAAATTAAAGCAATAGCAATGAGTGTTTATTAAAAAACATCTATCCTGAAAAGTTCATCTGACTACTATTCAAAAATGATATATCAAGTGACATAGTAATCAACAAGTTGAAAAAATCGATTCAGACGATGTAAGCCGCTAATTATATTTCCCACACAACCGGCTGTGATTCCGAAACATAAAGCTGAAGTACCTAGGCTAGCCACCTCATATTTTATCTATCGGTTCAACACCCCCTGTGGAGCCAGTTAACACTGACCGTTGTTCTAGGAACCTAACGTTTCGTTCTTGAGAACACCTGCTTCTGTGGCTGAGTAACGGTGTTGTTAGAACTATCAAAAGTTGTATACATAGGATCATCTCGTCCTTATAGGCCAAAAAGCTACCACTGAACAGTCTTTCTATATCATTTATCGTGTACCGAATAAACCACCAAAGGCCTCTAAATACTGAACACTCCAAACAGCAGCGGCCAGTGATATTTGCCTAAATCGACCGGAGCACTGCACGGAAATGAAACAATGCTCGCCAGTCATTACTGCTACCCTGACCTTTTGTTGAACCTTTAAATTTATAAATTCTCTTTCACTTCCATTAATTTATCTGCTCTGCAAGTAAGGGCTTCAGAGCATATTCCTAAATGGCTCCAGAAACAAATGGAATCTTCATAACCTATTAACGTTGAGAACAGGAGACCTTGCTCCTCTATTGCGAAACATATTATAGAGACAGGACATAAAAATGACGTTAACACATCATTTAAATCTGTGTATAAAGCGTGTTCGGAGAGTATCCTAAAGTTTGTGGAAGCCCTAGCAATTAGAAAGTCTAAGTCACCTTTATGCGTTCAAAGCAACAATTAGTCATCACATTAAACCTTCCTTGGTAAATTTTGTTTTGATACCAGCCAGGGTAGATGTACTATCACCTTGGCTATTTGGTTGAGTGGTCTCCATTGTTATTTTGACCTTGAATATGTCCTTTTAACTTGGCCTTAGTCTATTTTCTCACGTCTTAACTCCTTATTAATTTCCCAAATATTCCTACGACAAGTCCGTGTGTAGTGGATCGAATTGTTCGAAATGTGTTGCGCAAATATAACATTACACGATTCAGACAGACAAATTGCGTCTTCTTATTGCTTTATTTAAATTCATAAAGGGAACTAATTGTTTTAAATTATTAATGTTATTAATACGAATACTTCTTTATTACTACGATATAAATGTAGAACCTGATGACGAATTTATCGAATAGAATATGTAGCGACGGAAGACAAAGGCTAGGCAACAGATTGTATATGGAGAAATTCAAGACATTTTTATAGATTTTTATGTACATTATTATTAGCGTTATTGTTAACAGAGAAACAACGTCTTCTGATTAGTTGTTTTCTTGCTGAAAGTTATTCTGTACTGCTCGTGACCGTTTCTCAGAAAGCTAAGCCATACATCTGCCATTCACAATTCGCACACGTTAAGTCTGCTGTGATTGGTTGTTCAGTTCCTCAAGGTTAAGCCTTGTTATTAATTTTTTTTCTCACAGCCCTGATTCAGGACATAACATTTACGTAAATTGCTGTCTACAATATTTTTGACTTGCATCCAGCTCTCACCACAAATATTCTTTATTCATTTATGAGTCTTTTAATTAAATAAATAATAGTGAAATGCTGATTACTCAATAAAGAATATTCGGTGAAGTTAAACTTTAGTCATCACTGAAGAGGTGTGAATACACCATTGACCTTAGAACTCTCAATCAGCAAGTTAGTGGAACCAGATAAATGATAAAATATTCATGATAAATGAAGTGTCACGGTATTAAACAGGATATCTGGTAAGTTTAAGGTCAAATTTGAGGAGTATTGAAGTTATGTTCAGGCGAGGGACCGGGTTAGGGTTTGGTTAGCCGAATATGGGAGGTATTCGCGTAAAGCTATAAATTTAACATTGTCTAGATCCTTATATATACTGCTAACACCTTTTGCTGGTCACTTACCAGTCATCATTACTCACTCTAAAGACAATCTGCTCATCTTTGTCACTTCTGTGGGCGTTTAGAAGCTTAACTGCTCCTGAAGGGAAAGCTGTACTCGGCTAACAACTTCGACATCTCAAAAAAAAGAATTTCTGAACGTCTTCCCTCGTGATTCAGGAAAGGCTAGCTTTAATCCATAAGAAGCTATACTTTGTCTCCTTTGATTGACAGAGGTTGCCAAGTGGACAGAAGATTTGCCTTCAAAGGTAACCATCACATTCCATAAAACCTTTAAAATGGAATTTGAAACTGCCTTTTACACATATCAAAAGCTATGGGAGTTTGGGAAAACAATCCTAGTCCTCCTATACCTTTATCTCTCTTGGCCTAATTAAATTCTAGTGGATAACCTTATATAGCAAGGAGAATCGTGTACTGAGACCTTTTAACAAAGTTCCCTGAGTAGCCAGAGAACTCCGCCAGACCGACACAAACTGAATTCAAGAAAGGCAAATCACGAACTGATCAAATTGTAACTCTGTGCACCATCATCGTCGAACAAAGTTTAGAATGGCAGTTATACCTCTGCCTCAACGTCCTTCATCGACTCCGGAAAGGCCTTCGATAGACGACGTTGATCGAGAAGTAATTTAGAAACTACTTCAACTCTATAACATGCCTCAAGTTCTAATCAACCTCACTCAACAACTGCCTATATGGCAATGGCCACCTGTCAGATGATCTGTCTGTCTATCTGTCTTTCACCCTGTCTATCTATCAGTATTCCCAAAATTTGTACAGATTATGTGAATGTAGAATAACAATCATTTGTGTATAGGGAATTCAATCTTCAATCTGAATTAACTCACTTGATCCTAAACTATCCTTTTCATTGGCCATCTGAATATTGTCAGTCCTTCGGTTGTTGTCGATACAATCCTTTGCGTTATCCCCATCTCCCTCACTGTCATTGTCGCCAGCTTCCGCATCACCATCGCCATCATCTGCGTCATTCTCCTTCACATTATCCTGCTCCTCCTCATCATCACTAACTAATCTGCTGGCTATAAATAAATTAGTAGCATAATTATATGAAATTTGCATAGAAAAAGTACTTGGACAACAGGACAATCGATATACACACATTTTCACAGCTTCGTTCCTATCAAGTACAAAAGAAATTCAGTAAAGACCCTCAACCATAGGGTTAGTTGCAGCTATATGCTCAGAAGAGGTAATTGAAGATGAATTAAGCATTGTATATGATACTTTGATTGATTGAAAATAGCTATCCCGAAAAACTCATAAAGAAACAAATGACAAAGAAAGCGGAAAAGGACTACTCACTATCTGTAAAAAAGAAGCCACTTTATATACGAATGCAATTCAAGGGTGATATACCAAGTGAGATAATTACGAAGGAAATTAAGAAAATTAGTTCAAAGAACTTTTAACGCTGGCGAACTACACGTCTTATTCTATACACGACCGATGGTGCTACCTTGACTGAAAGATGAAGTACCTCGACTAGCTAGCCACTTCAAATTGCATCTACCAATTCAACTGCGCTTGTGGTGGAGCCAGCTATATTGGCCGATGCTCTAGGAAATTGGTTTTCCGTACTCACTCGAGAACATCTCCTACTATGGCTAAGTAAAGGTGTAGTGAAAACCATTAACACTTCGATATTGGACCGTCTGGTCCAAAGTGGCCACAGAGCCAGTGTAGAAGAATCCTTCTCTATCATCATCTACCGGGCTCCTAATAAATTGCCAAAATCATCGAAGCACCTCATGCTCCAAACAGCAGAGGCTATTTCAATTCGCCTCAAACAACCAGTGCTCTGTGTTCAAAAGAAGCAAGTCCCTACTGCCCTGGCCCTCAGTAGAGACTATAAATCCATGAATTTGTAATATTATCTTTCCTAATTTTTCTGACATTCAGCTTATTGTTATGTTGACGCTATTGAGCTGTAATCTATCAATATAATTGATTCGATGTTATTTAAACAGCAACATTAGTGTTGTTCATAACACTAGTTCATTCATTCACTATTATGTATATGTAACTGTGGAGCCTGATGATGAAGGAGTTATCGAAAAGAGTATTCTTTGTTCAGTAACCATTCTTTTGAAAAATTAGTAAATCACAAGCGCAGAGTCACAGAGATGAAAATTTTCAAAAATTAGGTAATCAGTTTTTAAAGTAAATTTTATACTCCCTATTGATTGATTCAATTGGATTGGTTTTCAAGGTCTGTGATGATATGTCGGACCCCAAGTACTGTGGAACCTTCAGTATGTCTGCCGATAAACGTGATGTGATTTGGTGACTTCTGTGTTAATCTTTAGACGGTGTTAGGAAGCAAAAGCTGCTTTCATAGCCGTGAAATCCTGATTTACGCATATTCTGTCATGAAAACCATATTGGACAGATTTTGATTGGTTCATTTATGGCTTAATTTTCTAAGGGATTTCAATGTTGTTTTTTAAACCAATCAGATTTGTTTAGTTATTTCAAGCTTGCTGGTAGATCGTTTGGCTATGGAGTCGTATTCCGGAGGTGCATATTACCAAAATTAGACGAACACACAATCTAGTATCATTCTATCATAACAGATATTGTTATGGAGACCATATTAGGTGCCGACATGTCCGCAAAGTTCGAATGCTTCGGTTAAATATAATCAGTCGGTTGGTAGATAAAGACTTCACGAAAAATAGCCATCCCGACGGGGAATTTAGAGCTAAGGGTTCAGCGATAAGTATCTTTTCGGTAAATCCAATCGCTTAGCTTCAAAATCACAATTTTAGATAACTATTTTTGTATGTGTGTATGCATAGCACAAGAATAAAAAAGGACCTTATCAAAAATGCACACCCTCGGAAGTTCACGTCAAAATATGTGAAGGAAAAATCACTTAGACCAAAACCCGAGATAGTTGACAAGAAACCATTTTTTATCAGTCGAGCATACAAGGAAAAGAAGTGTCCATAAGAACGGAAAGCAGAATTAAAGGGGCAGTGATAAGAACATTTCCCGTCGCTAGAATCATTGCACAAATCAGTATGCTCGTTAACCCAGTCAAAAGTAGATAGGTATCCTTCTCCTCCAGTCAACTCCAACGACATTTACCAATTCACCTGCACTTGTGGTAGCAAGTACACAGGAAGAACTGAGAGGAGAGTGTCTACTAGATTCCCCAATCATATCCCTAAAAGTTCCCGTATTCAGGGCGACAAAGTGTTCTGAAGCGCAATCGCCAGACACCTAAATGACACTAGACATACAGTGGAAATTAGCCTGCAGGCTTTCAAAATAATCAAGACACAAAAAAACATGGTTACTTCGGTTCATAGAAGCCATTACCATCAAAAGACTTCGACCCAACCTATGCATACAGAAGGAAAGTGTGACTAATCTCTCACTACTCGACCTGGTAACCATAATTGTCTTGTGTATGTGCTTTTGAGTTTTGCTCTGTTACGTGAGTAACATTCCACCCAATCTTGATTTTGATTTTTACTCACTGAGTTGAACTCACTTATTAAGGTTCCAAATCTACCAAATTAAATTATTTTATCTATTTTATAATTTTACTTCACTATTCACCCATGACCACCCTCCTGAACTCTCCACCAAAATATGCAGAAATTAACTCTGTTGTTCTATCTTGTTTTGTCTTTAGTCCATCTTCGTTTCCAAGAGAAATCTGAATTCTCCCCTTTTTTTCATATACTATATAAATAGCTACTCACTCAATACTTAATAATTGTCTACTCACATCATCTTTGAGATTATGTTGCTTATACTTTCTATCTATAACTTGAAATCACTGTAAAAATTATGTTCAAATGCTATTTTGTAACAAATGATTGCTTTATTAAGGATGAACGCAGTTGAAGAGAGAGAGTCCACGAAATAAAACCCCCTTTTTTATTATCCTGCAAATATGTTCTCGTTCTCTCTTTATTCAAAATATTTAAAAAAATAGTTCGGAGTATTGTTTGTACCATCCGAATTTTTAAAAAGCGTGTTGAATAATCAAAACTGTAACTATGGAGGTGAAGATTATTAACTTTACACTAAGGGTTGATTAGTATGAAAAAATTTTGACGCAGATTAGATGTTATTGAAATAGCTTGGAGGAAAGTGTCAAGATAAATTATGTAGTAGGGGAAGACAGCAAATAGATAGTCAGTTAAGATAGTGGTCACACTAAATATCATACGAAAAATACACAAAATGGTATTAATAACAGTGTATTGATAACAGTCAAAATCAGGATTATATCCAGTGTGGATGGAGAGTTTTTTATATGCATTTAAATCAGGACTTTCTATCAATCAATAGACACATCGAGATAGACAAAATTTACCAACCGATAAGAAGGAACCCTTACATAATAAGGATAAAAGTTTAAGTCAAGGAGGCAACCAGTTCCAATACAAGTAGCTTAGAGGGTGTTAAAACATGCAAAAACAACCAATCACTTTCAAGTTCACCACCAGGAGAGATGACTAATAAACTCGTGGAGAAATCTAAAAGCTCACTTCAATTCAAATTGAAATATGCGCTGAAGGAAGATGTTGCCTAGTAGGACAACGAAAGCTTTGCAAATTAACTATCCAGCTTAGAGAAAACAACCACATCAAAGCCAGGGAGTACTGGATAGCTGTTCCATCCTAAATTTGGAATCATTGGCAGTATGTGCCCACTGCCAAGGTTCAAACCCGGGACCTCCCGGTTACAAGGCTAGCAAGCTCGTATACCATTCAGCCACTGGGACCCGACTCCTCAATGGCCAGTCCATGAATTCTAACTTCTACCAATTCGTGATTTAGTGCGACTGGTATCAACCAATGTCATAGGTGGGAACTTCATCCTCACACTTGACTGGATGGACCTGACTGGTCACGACCTCTTCTCAGTAGAACTCTAGGAAAATCCGTCCTGTAGCAAGTCACTAGTGATGGTAAGAATTCATATTTGTTTAACGTAGAGATGCTGTCTGCTCCGAACACTCAGCTACAGATATTTGGAAACATGCCAAAAGAACGACGGTTAAGAGAACTTTACAAGTCCTTTACCACTCGTTCAAAAAGGCTGTACATCCATTACACCAAGCCATCAACACGAATCCTGATTGCAACTGAAACCGCGAACAGGCGATAGACATTATATAAAACCGCACAATCCAACTATGGATCTGAAAATGATGTCAAAATGACACTTAAAATAACCACCGGAATAAACGGGTAAACATCCTCATGAAAGCCACATTAATTCCAGAAAAAAATAACAATAAACATGACATTACCTAACTCGTACAGAAGTCCAAATATTAGATCGTTATTGTGTTCATTATCCACATCATCGTCCAAGATCACTTTCATTGGATCTAGGGGGGGGAATTAAAAGCCAAGAAAATCATCGTTATATCTATGCGACTATGCAACTATGAATAGTAATAATAATAATCACTTTATTCCACAACAATAACAATTTACAGCATGGAATTTCCAGCGTTTCTTTTACATATTGCAATGGTTTAGGTCTGTTTATAATTATATAAATGTATAAAAATGTCAAAATATTGATAGTTAACGGGAAAAATAAAAATAAAACCCAACAAAATCACACCATTGCTAGGTCATAGTGAATAATAAATAAATAATATAACAAATCACACATGCAATAATATGCATCATTTCATTTTATAGTTTAGTTAATGATTTAAAAGTTGTAAAAGTTCTTTTCTGATATTCATCTCTTCACACAATACTCGTGCCAAATAAGGTACGGTCGAATTTTTATATTTTGTAGTACGAGCATAAGTGTTTATGAAATTTCTTCTGGTCTTGCCCGAAGAGATACAAGGAAACAATTGTGAATAAAGAGGATGTTCACTATCAGACAAGATAACTTTAGCTAAGTGTTTACAAGAATTCATATGCCTATTGACAACAGTGTCAGTTAGTTGAGTCAAAGGGATAGCACTGACCCTACTTACAGCCTTCAATGTTCTTCGTAGTATTATGTGGTCTTTCTTGAGTAGCCCAGGGAAGAATAATGGAGAGCAATAAAGAATGATGGGCAAAACACATGAATTAATAAATTGTATGAGAAGAGATTGGGTTATACCTGAGTGCCTCAACTTCTTTATGTAATAAGTCAGACGGAAAACTTTCTTAGAAAATATAAGAATATGAGACGACCAGCAAAGGTTTGAAGAGAAACTAATGCCAAGATAAGAAACACTTGACTTACTCACTATCATGGTACCATCAATATTACAACAATCATGAGATTGGATCAATTCATGCATGTCTTTTTCACTTCTCAAGCTGAAATCAACAGTATTACATTTAGTTGGATTTAGTTTGAGACCATTTGAGCCAGACCAATCCCTAACTTCAGCTAAGAAGCCATTCATATGGGAACAATCCAATGTGGAAACTACAGGGACAGAAACGGTCAGATCATCAGCATACTTAATGAAGTTAACTTTGGGTGAGTTCGGAAGGTCATGCAAAAAGAAAGAGAAAAGAAATGAAGAAACTACTGCACCTTGAGGCACACCACTTTCAGTTAGCTGAGAAGTGGAGCGCTTTCCAGCCAAAACAGTATGCTGTTTCCTATCCTTAAAATAAGAAGACAGCCATCTAGCTGCCCAGGACTCTGTCTGTGCTGAAATTAACTTTCCTAATAAAAGTGTCCTAGGAACAGAGTCGAAAGCTGCAGTATTGTCTAAAAAAGCTGTTCGAACGAACTTAGCACCCTTATCAAGGCAGGAAACAATATTGTGGTGTAGTACAATGGCTGTATCTAATGTACTTCTTTCACACTTATAAGCAAACTGCTTAGGGTCAGTCAAAAGCTTTCACTTCAAGCTCGACAATATTTGTAATCTGCGGAGTAGAAATCGATAGATATCCAATGCAATTTTTTGAATTTAGCAAGGAAAATGTCCTGGGAGCCTGCAGTTCGCATAAAGTCAGTGTTCCTTAGACTGCAGTTCACTAAAAATGTTAATAGGTGAGGGTGTGTATCACAATGTCTGAGAAGAGCATGAAAAAGACTTTTAAAGCAGCTAAGTTATGCCGTTTATTCACCACTGCAAACCAATGTCAAATTCACAAAATAGAGGCAAACTGTCTTCCAAGCGTATCAGCCATTTCGACTGTTCAACATCAAACTGCTGAGCACTACCTACTTTGGCTAGGAAAAAGACCGAATAATTTGATGCATAGCTTAGTAATGTAGTGAGAGCAAGCTGCAAGCCAAAAGTGGTAGACAGCAATTTACGTCCTGAATCAGGGTTATGAGAAAAAAGCAATAACAACCAATCACAGCAGACTTAACGTGTGCAAATATGATTTGCAGATATATGGCTTAACTTTCTAAGAAAAGGCCACAAAGAGATGACAGAATAACCTTGAGCAAGAAAACAACCAATCGGAAGACATTGCTTCTCTGCTGAAAATAACGCTACTAATAATGCACATAAAAATCTATAAATATCTGTTGATTTTCTCAATGAAGGATCTGATGCCTAGCCCTTTTCTTCTGTCGTTACAGTTAAACCGGCTCATTTCGTCAATGCAGACGAACAAGTTGACATTAACAGAGCTTTTGAAGTTATTTATCCCATATTTGAATTTGTTACTTTTATGAAAGATCTTGTCAAACTGTCTTGATAACAAATTATCCACAGAGTGATTTCATGTCTTCAGCCATTAGTGAGTATTAACTGTTTAGTGGTGACCGGACATAAAATCCAGGATACGTTATTCTGGTTCTATTTGGAGCTCGTCAGCTGGGTGTATGCGCATCTCTAGTGAGTTGTTTCAAACGCCCCATTGTTATCCACTACACTAATGGCTCACGACAACCACCTCTTATGCAACAGCTATGGGTTACTATTCAGTGAACTGACTATCTTTTACACTCAAACTAATTGATTTTATACAATGGAAAGAATCGATCTTTGTATGCCGAAATCTATCCCCCAGTCAAACATGATATTTTATTTAGTGGATAACGGCTGCCAATGCATTCTCCACCTTTATGTACTGTCTACTTCAGTCCTTCCAAGAGCATTTTAGTTGTCATATAGTAGTTTAGTTGGCATTATACATTGAAAGTTCAGTGAGGGTGTACAATTTGTTGTGCTTTCATCAGGTTGTCAAGCGTCAACAGACTGCTGCTAAATATCATTTTTCTTAACGAATGGCTTTAAAACACTTCAGCTAGAATCGCTTCCTTCCGTTCCGAGTGGAATATAGGGCTTCAAGTTCCACCATTAAAGCTTCAATCTCGGTGGTTTATTTTTACCGAGTAGGTTTGCTAACCCTACGCCCAACTTTCCTGCTTTACTGTTAAGGTTGTCCTTCAGGTTGAGGGATTTAGGAGTTCGTCGGCTGGGGATAGAATCCCAGACCGTGTGAGACGTAGTTGGCAACTATCTCCTACCCTTGAACCACCGACTCACGATTCAAATTTGTATATTACTTACAAACAGATAAAAGTAGTAATGTCTTGAGAGAAGCAGTGCTAATTCGTAAGTCAAGTGGAAAAATTCACCACAAAAGAAACACTAACGGAAGGTAACAGTGCTTGATAAGAATTCGATAGGCAGTCAGTAACGGCGAATAAATCACGCCTAGTTGAGAGACATGATGTATCGCCAAAAGCGTTTCTAACGGGCTATTGCACAGTCTTATCAACAGTTACCTTCACTGGCACCATACTGAATATCAGATGGCCCACCGGAAATGATGAGCAACAAGGAACTGTGTTAACAAACCAACCAAAACGTAATCACCCCACAGATATGAAGAAGAAAAAATTGGTATGGACTGAGCACACACTGAGGAGACCACACGCCAGGCCCTGGAGTTGAGGCCGAATACGAAGTCAGTGACGAGATGAGCATGGGTGAAGTTCAGGAGACCGTGTAACGAAAAGCTGAGGGACTATAGACAGTCGTGGGAGCAGCTAAAGACGAAGGTATTATATGGCTGGAGGCAATCTGCAGGAAGACTTGTACCAGGTTTCGTGCTAGCTGGTACTCTCCGGTCAGCAAGACGAACCTGCGTCACCCGGTGAGATATGAGTTCCCTTAAGCTTGCAGATACTCCTTGCTTACCTGAGAGTGCCAACTAGGACGAAACCTAGGTAGAAGGCTTCCCAGCGAATGCCTTCCACCATCTAATATCAACAATTCAGGTGCACTTTGACGGCGAGCCACCCAGAATGCTGGTCACATTACAAACTTGACTGATAGAATTCAGTCTGCACAAATCAAAGAACGAGGCACATTACTCTAGTAACTAACTAGTGTCCAATTAAAAAGAAAGAATCATCTTATCCATTACTGGATGCGTCAATGGTAATGGCTTATAAAATAGGTATAATGCAGATTTGTACCTTAGGTGAATGATTTTGATGTAGTTGTGTTCTGTGAGCTGGACGGTTCATTAGCGAAGCTTTCATTGACCTACTAGGCAACATCTGCCCTCAGCGAATACCTCTGTTTGAGGTGAGCATTTAGGTTTCTCCACGAATTTATTAGTCATCTCTCCTGGTGACCTTGAAAGTGATTGGTTGTTTTGTGTGTTTTCACATCCTCTAGGCTACTTGTATTGGTACTGATTGTTTCCTTGACCTGAAGTTCCACCCTTTATTTGTGAGATTTCCTTCTTATGGATTGGTCTATTTTTTCTATGTCAAAGTATCCACCGACCAATCATTCACTAGCATACCAGGCTTCTAAAAACTCTCTAGAGTTCTTAGTGTTTCCTCTGTCTAATATTTGAACGTTGTCCTAGTCAAATTTATGTTCGTGTTTGTTTTTATGCGGCGATATCAGGGAGTGGATGTCATGTTTTCGGTGGCTGGTTTATGTTCGTTGTATGCGAAAACGAGAAGGAGGGTGTCTATTTTGGCCAATGTAGTGTTTTTCGCAGTCGTTGAAACTTGTTTTGTAGATGATGTTGGTTTCATCTTCTTTCGCAGTTGAGTCTTTTGGCCGACACAGAACTGAGCGAAGTGATTTTGCTAGTTTGTGTGCAATATCAATTCCTAAAAGTTTGAAGAGTCTTGCAGTGGTTTCTGAGATATCCTTTATATATGGCAGGGCGATTTTCTTTGTGCTTTGCTTTGGTGGCCTTTGATTTAGTAGGTTGGCTTAGGGGCATATGTCTTTTGATGAAGTTCCATGGATATCCATTCTTTTGGAAGACGTCCACGACGTACCTTTCTCAATTTTCCTTGAGGCATGAGTGCTGCAATAAGTCCCGGCTCTCTTGAATAATGTTTGTATGCAACTATTTTTGTGCGTTATTGGGTTGTAGCTGATGTAATTAAGTAATCGATCTGCGTGAGTTGATTTTCTATGAACGTGAGTTCTTAATTCCCCTGTGGTTGTTTACTTCACTAAGACGTCCGAAAATGAGATTTCCTTCTCATATTTCTCTTCTCTTGTGAATCTGATATCGTTGAAAATGCTGTCTATTAAGTTATGGGTTTTATCCAACTCGTTTCTTTTGATTATTACAAATGTGTCATCTGCGTAACCTATCCAAATTTTGGATTTGATCTTTGGTAACATTATGTTTTCTAGCCTTTGCATCACTGCTTCTGCAATCAAACCTGATGTTGGCGATCCCATGGGTGTTCTTTTAACTTGTTCATATATTTTTCCATTGAATTGGAAGTACTTTGTTAAGCATAGGTTTATGCATTCCATCTAACTTGTGTTCTGCATTTTTGGTTGTTGTGGGAGGCGTTCGTCGTTGCTGAGTAGTAAGTACTCCATGGTTTCTTTTGCTTGTTCCTGTTCATTTGAGGTAAATGAAATGCTGTGAAGTCGAAGGATATCATTATTTCTTGGTCATCTATATGAATGTCTCTGATCTTCTCCAGAAATTGGATAGAAGATGTGATGGAGTGATTCCAAGAATCCGTTAAGGGTTTCATTTTTCTGTACAGTTCTTTGGAACTAATTCAAATGTTTAAAATTCTCATCACAGGTTTGTAAATAAGACCAGAACAGTATACAGTTTAATGAATAAGTATATTAGAACAATAATGACTCACTTTTAAACGTAATCAAATGCTTATCTGATAGTCTTGTATGTTCAACAAATTTATACATGATATCTTGTTGTGGTATTTCTAAGCAAAGCTGAAATAAAAGCGGAGATAAGTAATAAAATGCAAAAAAATTAGGTTAAGAGGAACCACTTAAAGGCAGATAGTACTGGATGGCTGTTTCGTCCTATTTTGAGACGACACTTGAAAACTAATCAAATCCTCACTAGTGACTGTGACTACAGCAACGAAGTTGCCTAGAGTTTTGCTGAAAGGTCATTGGTAATGAGATCCATCAGATTCAGCAGGAGTGGGGGGGCGGTTGTGAGGACTAATGCTCACCGATGACATTACCGATGGCAGTGTCGATATATATCGTGAGTTGATGGAAGTTAGAATTCATGGACTACGGGATCCCGTCGTATTGGATGAATGGTCAAACGACACGCGTTACAACCTGAAGGAGTCTGGGTTCAGTCCCTATTGGGTGGTGTGACGGCTGATTACTTCTGAAGGTATGGAACACCTGTGTAATCACCACTGATTCTTAATGGTTCTCTAAGTGATAACACTCAGTGATCTTGCTTTTGAGCAACCGAATTTCTGTGAGGCGACACTCGAGAGTATTTCTTGTAGATAATAAGACTTCCGATTTACTTCTTTGGGAGAAGTCTACTGACCCATTCAGTGAAATTAATGCTATATTTGTCGTGTGTAGTATAACGGTTATGAGTTTTCTTTAAAACTCACCTATGGAGTTCAAAATATGAGGCCGTGTATATTCACAATTCGAATCTTACAATGAAGAAATTTAATGCAAGCAGTATGTAAATCAAAAGAGATTAATCAATCCAACGCTGTAGATCATCAACAGAAAAATCGAAAAATGTTACCATTACCAACACAACCCATCAAAAACAGTTTCCAAATTCCAGATATGCATCTATGTACTTAGAACAGAAGTCCAGCCAATCATCAGGAAGACCTGGACGTAGATTTTGCACTTTTTGTAGCTCGTTAACAAGGCATATGTACCCACAACCTTGAAGGAACTTATGTCCCAGACCCGCAGTCAGGAACTTTACGACTGATCTACTGTCCTCCTGCAGGACTGTAGTGGTTATATAGATTAGTAACTAAGGAGCAAAATATGTCAAGAGATGAGTTCATAGTGTTGGTGCCAAATGAATTCTCTCAGGGTTCGAACTTCAGACGGTCGCAGATAAGCACTGCTGAAAAGTGCCAATAAACGCAAAACCTATATCCAGAGTTTGGTACCAATTACTATTATTAATATTATTATTCCCTTGGGTTCCAAGTGGAACACAGTGTTTCAACAACATATCTCCACTTTCTTGTATTTTCTGCTCTCCTCTTCATCTGGCTGGGCCCACGAATGAAAAGGATCTCTCATTTCCTCCTCCTCAACACACGATTTCCTCCATGTCACCATCATACTAATTACCTACTCGTCGCTTCTCATTCTGATTCAACTCGAGGAGTGGATTGTCTGCATTGTGCGAGATGTCATTCGGCGGTCTCCTTAGCACGTGCCTGATCAATTTCCACTTCCTCCTACATATTTGCTGAGCAATTGGCTTTTCGTTGGTTTGTCCCCAGCCAGAGCTTTTTGTTGTTATTCCATATTAGTTTGTTTATTAGGTATATCACACAGTGAAACAGTATTATTTACTGGATGACGTTTCGAACAAAATTTATTGTTCATAATCATATCAATTGTGGTCACACGACTTTGACACTTGAGTTTTATAGTTTTCTTTGTTCTCTCCTATTCGTCGTATGGGTAGTAGAATTTTCCAAATATCGGGGACAGGTGATGAATCATTCCTATTACATGTATTTGTAGTTGATTCGATAAACAAAGCTTCTGTTATCAATCTCTCCCTATACCCTGTGACATTAGATTTTAAAACTGTCATCCTATCCCATCCTATTGTATGGTTGTGTGTGACTGCATGTAGTGCTATAGCTGAACTATTCTCTAGATTTCTTATCTTATTCGGGTCAACCAATCTAGATTTTCCTAAGTTTTTATGTTCAGCTAGTCTGACTGCCCCTGTTCTACTAGTTTGACCTATGTATTTGACCTGACAATCATTGCAGGGTATTAGATAAACTAAATTGTTTTGTTTTAAAGGCTCTACAGGATCCTTTAACCGACAAAGCTTGTTTCTAATTGAGTTTGTGGGTTTGAATGCCGTTTTTATTCCTGCCTTGTTGAGAATTCTGCGTAAGGCTTCCGAGGTTCCTTCCTTGTATGGAATTACTACTGATGATTTAGATTCTTTATTGTTGGTGTCGTCATTAATATTATTATTATTATCACTATCATTATTATTGTTATTATCACTATCGCTAGTATCATTATTTATTTTATTTTTACATTTCCTTACATATTTCCTGACTAATTTATCCGGGTAATTATTAAGTTTCAAGGCTTCTTTTATGTGTATCAGTTCCTGTTTTAGATTTTCTTTGGTACTACTTAATTTTTGTGCTCTGTCATTGTGAAATTGTTGGTGAAATGTTTAAATGACAGAGCACAAAAATTAAGTAGTACCAAAGAAAATCTAAAACAGGAACTAACACACATAAAAGAAGCCTTAAAACTTAATAATTACCCGGATAAATTAGTCAGGAAATATGTAAAGAAAAGTAAAAATAAAATAAATAATGATAGTAGTGATAGTGATAATAACAATAATAATGATAGTGATAATAATAATAATATTAATGACGACACCAACAATAAAGAATCTAAATCATCAGTAGTAATTCCATACAAGGAAGGAACCTCGGAAGCCTTACGCAGAATTCTCAACAAGGCAGGAATAAAAACGGCATTCAAACCCACAAACTCAATTAGAAACAAGCTTTGTCGGTTAAAGGATCCTGTAGAGCCTTTAAAACAGAACAATTTAGTTTATCTAATACCCTGCAATGATTGTCAGGTCAAATACATAGGTCAAACTAGTAGAACAGGGGCAGTCAGACCAGCTGAACATAAAAACTTAGGAAAATCTAGATTGGTTGACCCGAATAAGATAAGAAATCTAGAGAATAGTTCAGCTATAGCACTACATGCAGTCACACACAACCATACAATAGGATGGGATAGGATGACAGTTTTAAAATCTAATGTCACAGGGTATAGGGAGAGATTGATAACAGAAGCTTTGTTTATCGAATCAACTACAAATACATGTAATAGGAATGATTCATCACCTGTCCCCGATATTTGGAAAATTCTACTACCCATACGACAAATAGGAGAGAACAAAGAAAACTATAAAACTCAAGTGTCAAAGTCGTGTGACCACAATTGATATGATTATGAACAATAAATTTTGTTCGAAACGTCATCCAGTAAATAATACTGTTTCACTGTGTGATATATCTAATAAACAAACTAATATGGAATTACTTACTACCACAGTGCCCAAGTTTTACACTTTTTGTTGTTAATTCTTTCTGGCCCACCCGCCGGCCATTTGATCTTCAGTATGGGGCCAGCGAAGGCAGCCAATGATAAAAGTCAGTAGTAGCTTGTTGAAAATCCTTTTCCTGATACACAGTTCAAGTTTCTGACCTGTTTAGAAGAATTAACTGACTTCACTGATATTTGTGTTGAAAATCCGAATCTTGTTCTTTATGTTGAGATGGAGTACAGAAGATTTCAAAACTGGTTTCATCACCTCCGTCTTCTCTATGTTCACCTGCAGTCCTGTCTTCACTGTTTGCCTTTTCTGCCAGTTTGTTGATTTTCGCCCGAGAGTCTTCAAGTTTGCGTGACATCAGACATAAATCATTCATATACGAAATACAGATCTTCTAGAGTCTTCTTATCGGCCTTTCCAACGTATTCCTGTCTTCTAACTCCCGCGCACAGTCTGATGCATGATCCAGTCCATCACAATTAAGAATATCTTTGCTAATAATAGGCAGCCAGCTTGTCTAATTCCTGCATTTACCTCAAATGCCCCGCTGAGTTTTCCGTTGTGGATCATCTGTCACGTGGCATTGTCATATAGCCAGCTGTTGAATGAGGTTGATTAAGATCTGCGATACTGCACGCCATGGTGTTGAAGCAGTTTCCAAATTACTTCTAGGTCAACGCTGTCTGTCAAAGGCTTTTTCGAAGTCTATGAAGGAAGTTGAGGTAGAGGTTTGATTGTCATTCTATGCTTTGTTCGATGACGATGGGTAGGGTTGCGATTTGAGCAGCACGTGACTGCCTTTCCTGATTCTTGCTTGTTTCGGCCTGGCGGAGTTCTGTATCCAGTGCACCTTTCAGTCTGTCCAGGATGACGCGACTCAGTATTTAACCTGCTGTGGACAAGAGCATTATTCCACGCCAGTTCTTGCACAGGCCTAATTCGCTTTTCTTTGGCAGTTTGACGAGGTAGCCCTTCTTCCAATCAGTAGACACCTTTCCTTCTTTATAAACTTTTTGCAGTAAGAACATTTACCGTAATCTCTGGGGTCGTCTTCAATGCTTCTGGAGGAATGCTGTTGGTGGTGGTGTATTTCTGATCGATTCGGTGGTGGTGGTTGATTCAAGAGTGCTTCGAAGTGATCAGCCCATTGTTTGATTTGTTTCTCCTCCTTGGTGATCAGGTTTCCTTGAGCATCTTTTATTGGTTTCATTAACATCATCATCATCTGGGTTGATCTCTCGTGGGATAGAATCTTGGTTACCTGATATAATGTCCTGATGTCTCTTTTGCCTTTGGCCTGTTCTGCTTCAGTTGCCAACCAGTGTGTCGTACAATTGTCTTTTTCCCTTCTAGCACTCTTTTTCACTTCTTCATTCAGCCCAGTGTACATTGAACTCAGCTTCTCCTTCTGTTATCCATTCTTGCATTGAGTCATCTTTTCTTTCACCATCCTCCTCTCATCGATTAGCTTCCAAGTAGGTGTCCGTTGAGGGCCATTCCTTGTCTTGTCTCTACTTTCTTCTTGTTACCAATTACTTTCAACTATTTGACATGTTCTTGATTGCACCCTGGCCAGTGGTTCAGTGACATGATAAAACACACTGTCAAATTCAATTAAAGCGCTGAATGAAATTCATACATGACTCCCTAATTTCTGATACTCTAATAACTGACAGCTGTGTGCTATTCTGGTAATAAATTAACTTGTTCCACCTCCTGGTCACTAATCAACATTGAAACATTATTATTAGTAGTATTTATATTATAAAGACATATTAATACACTCACACTTACCTCAAGTTTTTTAATTGCAGAAAATGGCGTTGACAGAATGTGTGATAGATTACGTAAATCGACATATTTGATTTTATCTGTCACTTCAAGATCATTCAATGGCCAACGTAATTTCAACCTGAAAGGTTACATAATTGAATAGGTTATTTCAATTGTTAATCTGAAAGCGTTTGATTACATTTTTAAGTTAGATCACGGATTCACATCATTTTCAAAGAGAACCGTAGGGAATCGAACCTGAGAACTTTCTGAGTACAAGGCGAGATTGTTGACCATTATTCAGACACTGGAATGGAATTCAACGGCCCAATCTGCATTTCCTGATGTTCCCTGAAATCTTTTTCAGCTGACTCAGATGATTCTCCATGAGCTTTCATTGCCTTCTCGACAAGCAGTCTTCTCCATATTATCCTCAGACACAAACTCAACTCGCCGTTTCCAATTCAGGTTCCATTAGAGGTCCATGTGAGTATTTCACTCAGCAGTTTCTTAGGTGATAGGTTTTTGGTAAGCTCGTTGCCTGCTAAATTATCGTATAGCTTATCATTTCAGGTGAGCCATCATATCTTCAGTATCATTGAGCAAAGGTAGCTGTTGGTGAAATTCTGAAGGAAACTGTTGGCAATGCTCCTCATAACGCGTGTGTCGAATCTGTGAGGCATATAGAATAACTGAATGATGAATTGATACTAGTACTAAAAATCCAGTTCTTGTTTCTTGCGATGAGTACAGTAGATTCCGACAATGACTTTAGAGTGATGAGGGTCTACCCTACGTCTCCGATCCTGCTTGGTATTGACATCCTCATACGTGCCTCTTGTAGTTGAAACAGTGCTTCCTAGATAAGTGAAGAAAGTGACCTCTTTCAAATTTCTCCCAATGATAGTGATTGGTGCCGACTGTTGTTCTTGTTCGTGCGTGGTTATCTTCATCACCTGCGTCTTGTCTATTTTCACTTGAAGTAACCAGACATTTCGTTATATATATTACTTATTTTGAATGATTAAAAACGCTCATTAAAATCTTTTCAAAAGAATGGTTAGTGAACAAAGAATATTCTTTTCGATGACTTCTTCATCAGGTTCTACAGTTATGCGTATCCATAAAAGTGAATGAATGAATTAGTGTTATTAACAACATTAATGTTGTTAAAATAACATCGAATCAATAATAATAATATCAGTGGATTACAGTTCGATAGCATCAACATCTTAGATGTCCTCCTTACAAGGAAAGCAGATGGTAGTATAAAGAGAAATTTGCATGGGAAAAGCACACGGACAGGACAATAAACACAGTTTCATGGCTTCTTACCTCTACAGTACAAAATAAATTTAGTAAGGACCCTCAGTCACAGGGTTACAGCTGTATGCTCAGAAGAAATAACTGAAGATGAACTAAGCATTGTATATTAGATACCGTGACTGGAAATGGCTATCCCGACAAAATGGTCAGGATATATATGAATAAGAAAGTTGAAAAAGACTATTCACTATCTGTAAACAAGAAGGCTTCATACATACGACTGCAATTCAAGGGTGACATACCTAGCGAAATAATTACGAAGAAGTTAGGAAAATCAGTTCAAAGAACTTTTGATGCTGGTAAACCTCAAGTCTTATTTCCTACACGACCAGTTGTGATTCTTCGATTGAAAGATGAAGTACCTAGACTAACCACTTACAGTTATATCTACCAATTCAGCTGATCTTGTGGTGGAGTGAGTTATATTGGCCGTTGCTCTAGGAACTCGATTTTCCGTGCTAACTCGGGAACACTTACTGGTGTGGCTAAATAAAGGCGTAGTTAAAACCACCAACAGTTCCATATTAGATCACTTGGTCCAAACTGGCCACAAAGCTAGTATTGAAGAGTCCTTCTTCGTCATTTATCAAGTACCAAACAAACTGCCAATAACATCCAGTTACCACATACTCCAAACAGAAGAGGCTATCGCAATTCGCCTGAAACAACCAGTGCTTTGTGTACTACTGTCCTGGCCGGCCTTCACTGTAGACTATAAATTCATGAATGTGTATTATTACTTTTGGTAATTTTTCTGATATTCAATGTATTGTTATGTTATTCCCATCGAACTGTAATCCACTGATATTATCATTATTGATTCGATGTTATTTAAACAATATTAATGTTGTTAACCTTCTTAGCACCCCCAAATAAACCATTTCCTTCACTTCTGAAGCATCATACATTATTGTTATTGTATTACTTATATTATAATTCTCTCAATTTTTTCGTTTTGTTTATTTTTGTGTGGTCATAATTTTAAGCTGTATTATGACTGTTAATTTTGTATTTACCCTCACTATACTATATCAACAGAACATTAGATCCAATAATCTATAACATGCTAAAGTTTCCAAACTGAATCGACAATACCGTTTCAAACAAACTCACTGTTATTATTATTATATCTGATAATTATGTCTTAAATGTGGACAAATTCCTCCGATTAATTTTGTTTTAATTTTTAATTTTATATATATTTTGAGTAAATCAGATGGGATATTGTGACAAATGCTGAGAATTCCATTCTGTACTATAAGTACTGTTTTTGAAATAAAGTAAATTATTATTATTATTAATAACACTAATTCATTCATTCACTTTTATGCATACATATAACTGTAGAACCTGATGAAGGGGAAGTTATGGAAAAGAATATTCTTTGTTCAGTAGCCATTGTTTTGAATACTTCACTGATTTCTACTGTATTTCTTGTGTCATTTAGGCGTTGATCGATTACACTGGCAAACATTTTTAAAATTGTTCATTCGAAGATTGTAAGGAACATGAATAGAAAACTTAGTAGAGGCTCGTCTATCACTCCTTGCTACCGTTAGTATAGATGAATTGATAAATACAATTGGAGATGACATGAAGTATCTATGTACTCCTGTGCTTACTCCACTGAAAAGAATTTTGATCAACCGCTTTTTGTTACCAATGGGATTAAAACAGATATAACTTAAGTCTTGATCCGTTCACGTTTCTTTTGTAATAGATGGTTTTTTCAATCGTCCCCTCATTTCTTCGTTTAATAATAACGTTCAGAAAACTGAGCAAATTGTTGCACTTATAATCCTGTAAGGACAGAAGACAATGGTCAGGCAACAGATCCTTTATTCAGAAAATCAACAGATATTTATAGATTTTTATGTACATTATTATTCGTTATTGTTAGCAAAGAGGTAACGTCTTCTGATTGGTTGTTTTCCTGCTCAAGGTTATTCTGTCATCTCTTTGTTGCCGTTTATTAGACGGTCCGTTGATACATCTGCTAATCGTATCCGCCTACGCAAAGTCTGCTGTGATTGGTTGTTGAGTTCCTCAAGGTTAGGCTTTGTTATTGTTTTTACTCATGACCCCGATTCGCGATGTAAACATTGACGTAAATTGTTGTTTAGAATTTTGTCTTGCAGACAGCTCTCATTACAGTCCATTGTTAAGTCGCATTGTGTTTTTCAAACATGATTGACGCATTGTCCATATTACTGCGAAAAATGATTGTGTTGTCAGTATACGTACGATAACGTATGGTCTTCTCTATTTCTGATCTCACTTGCTTTTGTTCATAATGGGCTATGAATATGTCCTCAAGAACAAGGCCCAAATGTGAACCTTAAGTCACCCCGTCAATTTACGGGTACCCTTGGTTTCAGAATTAGAACTGAACATACTTTGCACAAAGGACTAATAGTTGTTTAAAGTTATTTTCAGTAGAAGGAAGTAATTCCAGCTATTGGCATATTGATGTTACTGTTCCTTCAATGAAGAGTACGCTTGCAAACTGACTACATTTATAAGTAAATTATGTCATTTCTGAGGGCTGTTATCGAACTAAGAAAGGCCATCAAATCAATATATCTTCACCCTTAATAGAGTAATGATGTTCCCACTGGGAGTTATACTCAGCACCCGTCGTTTTGGACGGTAACTACGCCATCCTGTCGTAGATTTCACTGGTAGACACCATCAACCAATTAAAATATCATATCATATCTCATAATATTATCACAGAGTCCGTTCAAGGAGGCGACGTGTCAGGTTGAATACAACTAATCGACATGAGATACAAAAATATTTTCAATCAATACATCGTACAAGATATACATGTATACGTATGTATATGTATGAGATATAAACCTAATTATGCAAATTTTACATTTTTATTATCATTATTATTCCCTTGGTTTTCGAGTGGGACATCGGGCTTCAACAACACATCTCCACCCTCTTCTATTTTCTGTTCTCCTCTTCATCTGGCTGGCCCCACCTCCTCTTCAACACACCATCTCCTACACGTCACCATCTCACTGACGACCCACTCGTCGCTTCCCGTTTGGATTCCCCTCGAGCATTGGATGGCCTGCATTGAGCCGGATGTCATTCAACGGCTTCCTCATTGTATGCCCAATCCATCTCCATTTTCGCCTACATACTTTTTGAGCGGTCGGCTCTTCATTCGTTTGTTCCCATCCAGAGTTTTTTGGTGATAGTTCTATCTGGCCGGCCGGCCGGCCAGCCAGTCATTCGATCTTCAGAATGGAGCCACTAAAGAAGGAAGCTGTTGATGAAAGTCTGCAACAAACTGTTGGTAATCCTTTCCGTGACACGCAGTTCAAGTTTACGACCCGTACAGAAACACTGACTGACTTCACGTTTGTGTTGAAAACCTGACTGAGTGCAGTGCATAAGATTTCCAAACTGGTCTCAGGTTGATGAAGGCATACCTCGTCTTTCCGATCCTCTCTGGCTGGCTTTGACATCTTTATCTGTCATTTTTACATGACTGTTTGTATTTCTCTCGCCCCACTTATGACCTTGAAATCCTGTTGGTTGTTGACTGTTTTAATTAATCGATGTAATTAGTTTCTATCATGGTCATTCTAAAGAAAGCGCTGTCAATCATTTTCGCTGTTGATACGAGTTAGTAAAAGCTCCTCGCGTCAACAGTCAGACTTCTCTTCTTGTGTCACATTTTCGCTGGTATCGTATCACGTTGCTATTGTTGGTGTTGTTGCTATCGGTAGTTAGAACAAAAGGCTTATGAACAGGGCAAAGTCCAACAATAGCGTCCCAGGAGTGTGAACACTCCAATGACCTTGAACGCATGCTAGTAATTGGCCAACGGCATCTGTCACTATCACAGCTGAAATATCAACGCTATTCATCAACTTAGGAGCAAATTTCACCCAGATCGCATTTTTAAGTACTACTGTTTGGACAATGTGTTAATAGATCGTTAGGGATAGGATTAGTGTTGGGATCAGGGTTATAATTAGCATAAAGGTTAGAATTACGGTTTGAATAAGGGTTACGACTAGGGAGAGATTTATAGTTGATGTCATTTATTTTAATTTTTTATTATCCACGTTTTCCTAGTAAGTAGTCGTCTGTCCTCTTGCTGGAAACCATAATAGTTCAACCGAGGGCTTTTGGGGAAGACTGCAAACGGGATAAGAGAGATATACGATTCACAAAAACAGCTCATCTTCAGTAGCCTCGGTGAATACATGTACAGAAACTAGTCTAACTTGGCAACGGATACTTTTCATTAGTGCTGGGACGTATTTTTTAGTCATATCAGAGAAAGATGCCCTGTTTAATGTGTTTTCCTGCATTTCCTTGTAAATATACGTCATTTTTGTGCGAAAATTCATTCCTCATTTTTATGATTGGTCGGCTGAAGGTCACTCATGCGTTCGCACTTCTGGGACGCTATTGTTGAACTTTGCCGCGAACAGAATAGATAGAAAATTTGTTAGCACGACTACCAAATGTATTAACGCTCCAAGTTCGACCCACGTCGATCTTGTTCAGCCGATGGTAAACCCGTGACGGGGGAAAGGTTTGGTGTGAGGTTACCAACAATCGCTCTCCACCCACAGCCACGTTTCTAGTGAAAAAATGACACTAAGACTTAAATTTGAATAAGACATTTAGAAGACAAATTTCGGCAGATGATATCGTCATTTCGTAGTTTCCCTACAACCACTTTACAACTAACATGGTTCACAATAATAATGCATGACAGTTACTCAGTAATATAAAAAACAAAAGTACATACTAATGACCAGTCATTCTTAAAAATAGGTCAAGTAGTCCACGGGAGGCGAAGGTTGAAGTCTGTTGTTTTTTGTACACACAGTTTAGGCTCTATGTGATTAATGCAAAGTGCTTCCATCACCTTCAATAACCGACCTAGAATTAGAGTTATATGGTGAAATAATTGGGTAAACAGTCATTAATATTGATTTTGTGACCTGATATTAATAAGTGCTTTGCAGTGGATGATGATCGATTTCTATTCATATTACTCACATTTTGATTTTCTATATGATTTAGTAGCCATTTTGGAACATATTCTCTCCAACTACATTGGAACATTCTATTGGTTCTACTCATATAGGTATCACCACAACTGCAGGTGAACTTGTAGATACAGTTTGAAGTAGAGTCCAGAGAATTTCATCCTTTAATCGTAGGTACAGGGATCGAAACTGTTCGGCGTTTGAGAAAAATAGATGCGGCATAGAATGTGCGTTTGATGGCTGACAGAAGTCTTTGAGCTGTCAACTGCATAATCTCGTTATCCTTGAATGGTAGGTTAGTGAAGATAGCTTTCTTTGGTACAGAATCTGTCTTTTCAAGATGTGGTCTATCCTTAATATGGCAATTGATAAGGTTTTCTGGATAACCATTAGCTAATAAAACTGAATGCATATGTCGAAGCTCATCCATCAATGTATCACCTGTGCATATTTTTCGGGCCCATGAGAACAAACATTTCACTAGGGAACGTTTATACTGGATAGGAACAAAACTGGTGAAATGAAGATATTGTCCACTCCATATCTGTTTACAAAAAATAGATCTCTGAATCGTACAATCATCTCTCCTGATCATTGTAATATCCAGGAAACCGAGTTTGTTATTCGATTCGAGTTCGGAAGTCACTCGAATATTCGGATGAACATGATTAAATAGGGTAATAAAGTTTTTCAATAGATTTACTATTATTACTAATAATAAGTGTATCATCTACATAACGTTTATATAGCATAAATTATCCAGGCAAACATTGCATTTGTTTCTCCAATTTTGACATGAATATATCTGCTAACAGAGGCCCAAGAAGGCTCCCCGCATTGCAACACTATCGACTTGTTTATATACCTTTTCTTGGAAGGCGAATCTGATATTTGCAGTGCATATTAAGATAATGTCTCTGAGGTAAGTGATAGGAATAGGTAAGTTTATCCCATTGCTTGTGGTGTAATCGTAAATGATATCAACAGTTTCATGAAGAGGAACATTGGTGAATAAGCATTCTGTGTCGATTGAGTACATAACCTTTTCTTTAATGTTCAAAGCCTAACACATGAAGGTGTTTGCTTCACTCTGAACACAAATCAATAACAACAGCAACAACACTTTAAGTGGTGGATGGTGACTAGCAGTGGAATCCTGGATGCGTATTTCGTCCTATTTAGGACTCATCCGCCAGCTGGATGTACCTGCATTTCCTAGTCAGTGATGATGTTCCCACCGAGGCTCGAACCCAGTGACCGAAGCGTTATCCACTAGACCACTTTGGACACGAGATCCACCTCTTGTGCAACGAGTCATTTTTTATTTAGTTTAATTTTAGGTTTTCCCTTCGAGTGATTGGACCGAATTAACATGACCCGTTGCCCTAGAGGTGGCTCTCGTGGCCCAAGTTGTCTAGTGGATAATGCTTCGGTCACTGGGTTCGAGCCTCGGTGGGAACATCATCACTGACTGGGGAATGCAGGTACATCTGTGGTGAGAGCTGGCTGCTAGTCAAATTTGGTAGACAGTAATTGACGTCAATGTTTATGTCCCCAATCTCGGTGGTGAGAAAATGAGAACAAAGGCTTTGCGTAGGCGGATACACTTAGCATATGGATGATCTGACACAGCCACAAAGAGATGCAAGGTTAACTTTCTGTGAGAAACAACCAATCAAAAGACTGTATTTTCTACTAACAATAATCTACAATAATGTACATTAAAATCTATAAATATGTGTTGATTTTCCTTAATAAAGGATCTGTTGCCTGGCCCTTGTCTTCTGTTGTTACATACGGATGACGCATTCATAGTGTAACGACAGAAGACAACAGCCAGACAACAGGTCGTTTATTGAGGAAATCAACAGATATTTATGGACTTTTATGTACATTATTATTCGTTATTTTAACAGAGAAGCAACCTCTTCTGATTCGTTGTTTTCTTGCTGAAGGTTATTCTGTACTGCTTGTGGCCGTTTCTTAAGAAAGTTAATTCGGTCCAATTAATCAATAGGAAAATCTAAAATTAGACTAAATAAAAATGACTCGTTGCACAAGAGGTAGCTCTCGCGGCCCAAGTGGTCTAGTGGATAACGGTTTGGCGTTTGAAACTATGGGTACTGGTTTTGAGCCTCGAAGGGGACATCATCACTCACTGGGGAATGCAGGTACATCCATCTGGCGGACGAGTCCCAAATAGGATGAAATGGATTCCACTGCTAGTTACCATCCACCACTTAAATTCTAATTAAATGCCCAGACATCGTCGAAGCATCTGCACAAGAAGCCAACAGACATGTCAACCTGAGACCACCGAGCACTTCGGTCCAATTAATCGATGGGAAAATCTGAAATTCAGTTAAATCAACAACACCAGCAAAAGAAAAAAACTCAAAAAATTCCAAATGAAACAATTCAAAACTTACTTATCAGAATTTTCAGGTTTTGGCAGCGTGAATCGTATTAATTTCTTATTTTCTTGTCGTATAATCGCTTCACAGAATTCATTATCTTCTAGTGGTGATGAGATGATTCGGCCATCGTCATTCGGAATGTATTCCACGTCATTTTTTAATTTTATCGTCAACCAAAGGATACATCGTAAACTACCCATACTATTAGTGCTATTCAGTGCAAATGTGTGCAGGGCAGCTTTGAAATACTCTATCATATTGATTTGACTATCATCATCTTTTGGGGATTCTATAGAAGTGGGGAAACATTTACAAGAAAATATATGCATGCATACATACGACAGGATAGACAGAGATTGCATTATAAAACTAAGCACAACAATATGAAGGCTTTGGTTAATTAAAGTCTAACCTCTCATGCCTTCAGAGATGAACAAGAAAGATCCAATCCATAAGCATTTGTTATGAAAAGTGCATATCTGTAACGACAGAAGACAAGGGTCAGGCAGCAAATCGTTTATTGAGGAAATCAACACATATTTATAGATTTTCATGTACATTATTATTCGTTATTATTCGCAGAGAAACAGCGTCTTCTGGTTGGTTGTTTTCTCGCTGAAGGTTAATCTGTCATGTACTTGTGGCCATTTCTTTGAAGGTCAGACCACATATCTGTGAATTGTATCCGCCCACGCAAAGTCTGATGTGATTGGTTGATGAATTAGTCTTTGTTCTTGTTTTATTTTCTCATGACCAAGATATGGGACGTAAAGATTGACGTAAATTGCTGTCTACCATTTTTGGCTAGCAGATAGCTCTCACCACATATCTATACAACGTTTGAATGTAGACTGTGAAACTTCATCTGTTCCTTTCAACTTCATTTTATGCTTTCAATACTCCCTCACAGCAATCTTTATTTCTTCTTCCTTTTGTAACTTGCTCCATTGCTGCGCATAATTCTTACAAATTGTCGTCAGGAACATGCGTCATTCATTCCCAGCTTTCGAAAAGGAACACAGGGTTTTTAACTTTGAAATTTCAATGTTGGATTGCTAGCTGCATGTTCAACCTTACCTCTTTGCTATCGGATAGGGAACTAGGAAAGAATCAAGAGTGTGTTTCAAGTATTGGTTTGTAGGGATTTGGTTGATTGGTTACAGGATGTCATCATGACCTGACATCGGTTAGAGAACCATTGGAAAACCTGCCACAGAGAGTACTGGACAGCTGTTTCGTCAGCCTAGTTTGGGACTCTTCAAAAGTACGCACCCACTGGGATTCGAACCCAGGACCTTCTGGTTACGAGGCGAGCCAGCTCGTAGAGCACTCATTAGCCACTGGGACACGATCCAATTGCCAGTGCATGAATTCTAACTTCTGCCAATTCACGATATAGCGCTACCGCTAGCCAATGTCTTCGGAGAGTATTTGTCCTCACACCCGACCTGCTGCACCCTACTGGTCACGACTCCCCACTGGAACCCCAGGTAACTACCCACCTACTTGAATAGGGCAAGTCACTAGTGAGCATCTCATTGATATTCAAGTATTGGTTTGTAGGGATTTGGTTGACTGGTTACATGATTTCATCATGAGCAGGTCGGGTGTGAGGACAAATACTCGCCGAAGACATTGGCTAGCGGTTGCGCTATGCTATGAATCGGCAGAAGTTGGAATTCATGGGCCATTGGATCGGGTCACAGTGGCTTAATGGTCTACGATCTCGCTAACCTTGTAACCAGAAGGTCCTGGGTTCGAACCCCGGTGAGTGTGTACTGTTGAAGAGTCCTAGACTAGGACGAAACCGCTGTCCAGTACTCTCAGCAGGTTTTCCAATGGTTCTCTAACCAATGTCAGGTCATGGTGAAATCCTGTAACCAAGAGTGTGTTTGTCGGACATCTAACACAGACCCCCACCGACATTGGCAAGTATTCTGCCAGTAAACTGCGGAGGCATTTAGTCACAGTGTACCATCCTCAAATATTTCAAATTCATTTCAGTCAGTACAATGATTGTAAGACTGGTTACTCAATTTTATTCAGACCTAACCACAAAGTTAAAAGAGATCTCCAGAAAAAGGTGTTATCATATTGTTATTACTATTCTCTTGAGTTCAGGATGGAACGTTGGCCTTTATCAGCACATCTCCACTTTATTCTGTTCTCAGCAGCCCGCTTCAGATGGCATTATGATTGCTTATAAGTTCTCGTCTTATCCTGACATGATCGCCATCTCCCATTTGGGTTCCACTCAAGGGTTTGGCTGGGGTGTAATGTTATCTAGTGGCCTCCTAAGTGTGTGTCAGATCTATCTCCATTTTCTTTGGAATATTTGTTGAGCGATATGTCCTTGATTGTTCGTTACCACAGTTTCTAGTTGCTAGTTCTTTCTGGTTGCTATCAGATCTTCAGTGTGGAGCCAGCGAAGTAGCTGTTGATGGAAGTGGATAGTAGCTTGTTATTATTATTATTGTTTCCTTTAATTCCACACGTCTCCATTGCGTTTGGTTCTCCAACAAATTTTTCACCAGGATCCGCGTCTGTCCAGGTGCTTTCATCTCCTCTTCACATGACCTTCTCCAAGTTACCTTTGGAGAACGAACTCGCCGCTTCCCATTCAGCCGGGTTTTATTCGAGCGATGGCCTGGCGTGTAATGTCACTTGGTGATGGTTTGTTTTCTCAGAGTATGGCCACAATCCACCTCCATTTCTTACTGCATATTTGTTGCACAATTGGTTCCTGATGGGTTGGCTCGCTCATTGCCAGAAATCTCTTGCTGATCTTTTCTGCCCGGTGGTCTGATCTTGAGTAGTATTGAGCGAAGACAGCCGTTGATGAAGATCTGAAGTTTGTTCAAAGTGCCCTTCGGGACACGGCGGCAAGTCTCTTATCTGTACAGCAAGCGGCACTGACTTCACATTGCAGTTGAAAATCCGAATCTTGATTTTCATGCTGAGTTCTGAGTGTTGATCTCCACACAGACTTGAGAGTAATGAAAGCCAGCCTTGTTTTCCCGATCCTCGATTTGATATCCTCATCAGCTCCATCCGCCTGTAATTGAAACGATGCTTCGCATGTAGGTAGGCAGAGGAGGTTGTTTCTTTCAGATTTTTCCCATTTATGCTAATTTTTGTCTGTTGCTGTTGCTTACGGCAAGGGATATTCATCACCTACCTCTGTTTTCTCTATGTTCACCTGAAGGAAGTCCTATCCTTGATGCTTCTTCTGCCAACTTGTTGCTTTTCCAGTTTGTGAGAAATCAGACATATATCACTGGTGAAGTCCAGATCCTCCAAGTGTTTTGTGTGCGCCCATTTTATGCCTGTTTCCACGCTGCCCGCTGTCTGTCGCATTATCCAGTATACCCAACGCAATCAGGAAAATCACTGGAAATAGTAGGCAGTCAGCTACCAGATGCTTACCAGTTACTCTGAGATCATTAATTTGTTTTGACAAACTGAAATAAATCCCAGACAATATACGTTACAAAGTGTTTTCTCAAGGGCTGCAATAATTCAAATAGTCACTATGCTAATTTGTAGTGTGGTAAATTCGTCACCAAAAGTATAGGTCTTAGAAGTGTTCCTGGTTTGTGTATGTGCATCGGTGGTACAGCGGTAGAATGCTCACCAACCACGTCTCATGTGGTCCGGAGTTCGATCCACAGCCTACTGACGCACTCCTTTACCTCTCTAAGCCAGTAATAAGATCGATAAGGAGGGAAGGTTGGGCATGAGGCTGGCTAGCAATCCCATCCCGTTAAAATAAACACCGCTGCTACCGAAACTTCAAACCTCTAGCTTGTAGCCCTATGTTCCACTGGGAACGTAAGGGAATAAAACATATATAAATATAATTTTGGGATGTGTGACCCAATCGGTTGAATATTCCTACAGGTGTCGTAAATGTTGCACGATTTTTCTTTCGGTCAGCAATGTTTGATCTTTGGCATGAATATCCACTTTGAATTTAGATTCATCGGAGAGAATTTGATGCACTTTTTCGATATAATCTATCTCATTCATCAGTACCACACATTGTCCTTAATCAGAATGTAGAAACAACAGTATTATTGTCCTTTTCGAGCTTGTGTAAAGATCTTCAGTGTTCTTTGATAATAGGTGACTTTCCATTCACTTGAAACTATCTTTTATCATCATTATTATTATTTCTTTTAATTCCTAGAAGATCATAGGGCTTCATCCATGCGTCTCCATTGCGTTCAGTTCTCTGCTAGGGTCTTCACCTGGCTCCAAGTCTTTCCACACGTTTTCATCTCCTCTTCACATGACCTCCTCCAAGTCACCCTAGCACTGACGACCAACTCGCCGCTTCCCATTCGGCCAGGTTCCACTCGACGGCTTGTCTAGTGATGTCACTTGATGGTTTCCTGAGAGTATGGCCAATCCACCTCCGTTTCTTCTTGCTTATTTGTTTCACAATCAGTTCTTGGTTGGTTCACTCCCAGAGATACCTGTTGCTGATCTTTTCTGGCCATCTGATCTTGAGTAGTATTGAACGAAGACAACTGTTAATGAAGGTTTGTAGTTTGTTTGAGATGCTCTTTATGACGCGCCAAGTCTCTGATCTTTTATCATTATCATTGTCTTAACTCTTTTCAACACTATTATTATTGATTGTCATTGGCACTATTATTAGCATTACTATTATTGCTACGCCTTCATCATCCTGAAACGGGTTTAGGAATCTTACGCACTGCACTCAATCAGCATAAAGAACAAGATTTCGATTTTTAACACAAATGTGAAGTCAGTCAGTCATTTCTTCTCTATGAGTCTGGAGTCACAAAAAGGATTTCCAGCAATTCAGATTTTTATCAACACCTGCCTTTCTCACTGGCTCCATACTGAAGATCAAATGACCAGCCAGCCGGTGGGCCAGAAAGAATTAGCAGCAAGAAACTCTAACTGGGAACAAACGAACAGGCGAGAGCCAATTGCTCAAAAAATATGATGGCGAAAATGGAGATGGATTGGGTATACGTTGAGGAGGCCGTTGAATGATATCGCGGTCAATGCAGGCCATCCATCGCCCGAATGGAATCCAAATGGGAAGTGACGAATGGGTCGTCAGTGTGATGGTGACATGGAGGAGATCGTGTAGCGAGGAGGAGTAGGAGATGATGAGGGATTCTGGTCAATCGTAGACCGAGCTGAAGAGGACAACAGAGAATAGAAGAAGGTGGAGCTGTGTTATTGAAGCCCTATGTTCCACTCGGAATAATAATTATTATCAATAATTATTATTATTGTATCCTT